TTACATTCTTTAAATTCATATTAAATTTAACTTCCCTCACTATCTCGCTATATCACCATCCCTGCATATATCACACACAACAAGCGTGAGACTGTGCATACAGAAACCTCTGGACTCCTTGAAATGAACAGGGATGTGGCGAGCACCTACAATGGCCTAGCGTAAACAAAACCACACAGACAGTATTTTTGTCTCTTTTAATTTAAAGCTTGCTAATTTATCTCACTTCTTCATTTTTGTTTTTGTTTTAGTGGAATAAATAGAGAGACCATGGTGCAGAAAAGATGAGGTAGGTGCACCAATTTTACACATTAACAGCCTGAAAGACAAAACGTTATGATGAAATGTTAGGACTTAACAACATGCTGGCTGTGCACTTCTGTCTGCAAATCACATAAATGATGCGCTTCCCTACTATCTTTGCACCATTTTGTCTGTGTGCTACAAAGTATACAGGAGGAAAGTGCTTAAAAATGTATATTTTTAAAACTGTGCTTTGCATGTGCAGATTTCTACAGATTCCAAAGGATACTCATCCTCACAAACAGTAAACGAAGCACTCACTGTTTAGATAATCTGTTTTTGTTTATCTGTGACCTCCTTGATGTGTCAGTCAGGAAATGACCCGCTGTCCTTATCTGCATCCATTTATAACTGACACGTTGGATTATGTGCAGGATATTGGATTACACGGAGCCAGATCTGACTACTTCCAAAGTGAGATGAGGGGTAAAGAAGTTCCTGGTTCCTCGGGTAGTTGAGTGTACTGTACATTGCCCAGGAGTTCTGGAAGAATTAGTTTGAACCACATTCAAACACAAAAAGGAAGAAGATATCTTGGCTGACTGATTTGCTACTAGCAAACTTAGAAGATCATCCAAAAGCTGCAGCGTTGGATAAATCCCAATAAATGGATGATTACCTCCTAAGAGGAGGGTGCTGCAATTTACCAGGTGCATTGTTTGGGGAATAGAAACGGAAAGTCACAATTCCTCTTCCAGGGAGTCATTAATCAGGTCCCATTTTTCTCATTACATAAAGACTGATGGTAATTTCCCACCCAGCATTCTACTTTCAGCCATCTAAGGAAGCAGTCAGTAACAGACTCCCAAAATCACATGACACTTCAGAAGCATGCCGGGTTCTTTTATTTCCCTAGTTTTGGTATTAAAGCTGAATAAGATGCCCAGTTTCAAAAGGTTAGGTACAAGTTAAGAGTTTCTTGTATAGAGACTCTATTTAGAAGATTACTACTGGATTACTAGTTGATAATCTCCTCACTCTTATAGTGAAAGTGCTGCTTATAGATCAGTCCAGTATATTCCTGTCTTGTTCTTTCCCTACAGCTGGTCTTCTGTACAGGTTGCTTGTGTCATGCTCAACATTCACCTGCTTGTGTCTCTTGTCCCATGGTCCAATAGATCCCAAATGCCTTAAATCTGTGTCATGGTAGGTACGTATTTTTATAATGTCTATGGTTTTTAAGGGGGCTGCAGGTGGAGAAATACTTCATGTTCTAAACCTAAGGACTGTGATTCACTGGAGAGGCAGCTGACTATAAAGATTTAGGGTTAATTACTATTTTTAACCTATTTTTTGGACAAGCTCTTAAGGAACTTTTATATACTTGACACAATATAGTTGGTATTTTAAATATTTAGAAGGGAGAATGTTAAAAACTGTATTTTTGGGGCAGTGGGTGTCTAATTTTTATCCTAGAAATATAACCTAAATCTATGGAAATACAAAAATCTCTTCAAAGTGAAGATCTGTTGCTTTCTTCTACTTTACATCAGTCTACATTGTAGGCCCTTAGGCTTTTGGGTGCAATTTGGATAAAGCATGACAAGTGAAAATATACCTTGGGCTCATTTAATGTATGAAATTCTACTGAACTTAAAAAAGAAGACTATATTAAATTATGAAAGGCCTGACACTCAGCTGTGGGTGACTTTTCAGTTTTATTATGAAAAAAAGATCTCACACATTTATCACCAATAATTAGGCAAAGAGGCAGTCAACTCTAGAACCGTGAAACACAGTTTTAAGCAAAAATGTAACTTTATCCAAATGCAACCATTAGACTACAAGACATGTCATGTTGGAACATAAGATAACTACCAACCTACGCAGCTATAGGGGTTAATGAAACGTCTGATTAAAAGAAAACACATTTTTATAACAGAATCTTCTCTCGCCCACAATTTCCTTTAACCTTTTGTTCCCACAGAGATACTCAGTCTATCAATGCAATACAGCAGAGTTTTTCCTATAGTAGAACAGGATTATTAGAGTGTGAGGGTGCTTTTTTGTTTAACCTTCGTCCTACAGAAATTCCAAAAGTGATCTCTACAAAAACGCTCCATATAGGTAAGTTTATTAAGCCCAGCTGTTCCTGTCACCGCAAAGTAGTTCAGAAAGCATCCTTATCAATATGTAAATCTCTTCCTGCTCTTTACACTCAGTCATAACAGATGATTGCTAACAGAATGTAGTTGTTTCCCCAGACCTATTTAGTTAGATTTAGAGAATCACTGTTTTATTTCAAGTTACAGTTGAACAATTGTAGCTAAATACTTTTTTTAATAAAAATGAATATATGTCCAAAAAAACAAAAATATTTTGTTAACCATGACATAGTACAATATTCAGAAGTCTTTACGTTACAAGAAATTCCTAGTGAGTACTTTGCTTAAGAGTTGAAAGATTTGTTAATTACTAAATTTAAACCACCAGCTGTTCCAGCATTATTTTTGTAAGTGTGGGAGACAAATGAGAAAAGGTGAAGACAGTGGGGTGGTTTAATACTACTTAATAATACTTTCTTTAAAAATTTAAACAATAGCCTTTGCCAAAGGTAAATGTAACCTGTTTGCTAACAGGGCGATGACAGCAACCGAAGTCGACACTGACAGCTATCTAGACACAATGTAGCACCCACAATGCAAGAGGGAACAAGGGGATACTCTTTACTCTTTTGTTCAAGTGTACATGTGGGAGTTTGATCAACTAGGCTAAAGGATTTTGAGAAGGCATTTGAATGCATGTCTCGGTGTGTCACGCACATCCCTTGGGTGCTTCAGAATTAAGAAGTACCAGGCGTGTTGTTACAGGCTAATCAGTCCATGCAGATGCAAAGTGAGAGCTTAGTCAGCATTGGCAGCTATAAGTCACATTCATTCCCAGTGGGTGTTGCACTCTGCCAGAGGTGCCCTTTGTCACAGATTGTGTTCATAACTTTTAAAGACAGAATTTCAGGTTCAGCCAAGAGGCGGAGGGTTTCACGCTTGGTAGTCTAAGAATCATGTCTCTGCTTTTTGCAGATGATCCTGTCAGATACATCAAGTGATTACCACTGTCTCACACTGGAGTGATTTGTCGAAGCACCAGTATTGCAGCCATATCCAAATCCGGAGTGCCCACCCCAACATGGGAGCAAGTTTCTGCCTCAAATGGAGGACTATTCCAACGCAGTTATGTTCACTAGTGAGAGGAGAATGGAGTGAGAGCTTGACAGACGCAGTGGTAGTGTTACAAACATTGTACCACTCAATTGTGATGAAAAGAGAGCTAAGTGTTAAGGCACAGCTGTCAACATCTGGGAAGTGATAGGAAGAATGAGTCTGTGGGTATAAACAGTGGAAATTAATTTCCTCCATAGGGTCTCTGGGCTCTCCCTTACAGGAGGGGTGAGGGGCCTACAACCACTGCTCCTCTATATCAAAAGGAGCCAGCTGAGGTTACTAGGATGCCTCCTATGTGTGGTGCTTTGGGAACATCCGACTGGGAGGTGACCCAAGGACAAGTCTAGTACATGCTGTAGAGATTATGTCATTCAGCTGGTTTGGGAACGTCTCCATGTCACACCAGAAGAGCTACGGGCAGTTGATGTGGATAGTGAGATCTGGTTATCTCTGCTGCCCCTCCGATTTGTACCCAGATAAGCAGCAGAAAGTGGATGTCATTTATTTAATTATTTTGTTTGAATTATTCTAATTATTTGGGGTGGCTTAAACTGTAAAGTGGACAAAGAAGAAAAACTTAAAACCACGAATTAGGGATTTTATAATTAAAAATAATACAAATCTTCTTCTAACTGAAAATTAATCAGTTGCAGGAGAGAACGGGAATACTGGCCAGGGAAGACACGTGATCGTCCTCTAACCTTAAGTTCAAAGACTCCGTGTAGTGGAAGAAGAAGTCAAGTGAAAATAATGGGCAACCTGACTAAGGCAGAGGCAAGGCGTTGCAGACTTCCCATTTTGAGGTAGACAGGTTTCACCAGCAATCAGATTCGCACATTCGCTTCCACAAAAGCTGTAATAACAGAGCCTGGACCTCTAACTGATTGTAGGTTACCTGCACAGTGAGGCAAAGGTGGGTGAAGTTAGTCCAAAGAAATATTAAACTTTACACTAGGTGGAAAAGTCAGTTTCTTTAACCACGCATCAGGCTAATATTACCCTACGCTGATAAATGGTCCTTTTTCAGCTTGTCCTGACCTGCTAAAAATAAATAAACCGCAATGACTTTTCCTCGCAGTCCTCAAAAAGCCACCACTGGTGAGGCAAACTGAAACCGTCACGCTCAGTTTATTCTTTCTTTACATTGAAACACTTTAAACACGATACGACTAAAAGTTTCTGTGACTTTTCAAGTTATTGCCCCGTAAGTTTTCCAAGCTGGTGTCAGTTGGCAGCATTAGCCAGCTAGCTCCCAAGTTAGCTTCCCAAACAATGTTCACCTCTTACTGCTTGTGTCAAACAAAAATCAACTCCGCTTTTTCGACTTTAAGACTACAAAAAAAAAACTTATCGATTTTAACTCCCTGTGTGGAACTCCGGGGAAAGAAAGATAGCTGCTCAACTGCGCTAAGCTACCGCCTGTTAGCATGAATGGGAAAAAGTAGAAGCAAACCACAGAGCAAGCCGTAGCTCCCCTTAGCAAAGAGTGACAGGACACCGACGGAGACAAGTTTAAAAACGTGGAAAACTACATACCCGACGGCAGCTCCTGTTGTCTGGCAACTTTTGCTGTTACTTGAAGCTCGGTTGTAATCCAAATAAGAGTGATTAAAGCAGTGCCTCCCCCACCGAAACTACCCACCGCGTCCGCAGACAGCTACAGCAGCTGGAAACTCCGCCGCTGCCCAGAAAATACAACAACAACATGGCAGCGCCGCGCCGCGTTCAGGGCGCGCTGGACAGCCGGTAAATACGAAACTAACGTGCGGTCTCTGACCTGCAAACATGTAAGAAACTTCAAACAAAGCTGAAATGTGAATGACATCTTTTATTCTGGCACAACTTTGATGCCAAAATTCCCATCATCATTAGCGGAATCCAGGTTTATAACTTCACATGCTTTGTCTCGTCCAGCAAACAACTGACAATTATTTAAATAATAAGTTTTTACACTTATATTACTTAGTAAAGTAACCCCCAAAACCACAGGGTGCAAGACAGGAATCAGTGAAACAATCGAACAAAACATGAACATGAAATGTAACTAAGAAAAGAGGTGAAATATGAATCAGGTTAAAGCAAGGATATAAAACTTCAATTCCCTTCAGTTCAATTCAATTTTATTTATACAGTGCCAAATCACAACAACAGTTGCCTCAAGACGCTTTATGTTGTAAGGTAGACCCTACAATTATACATACAGCACAAAAACGTTTGATTTAAATCCTTAAGTAAAGTAAGTAAAGTTTAGGTGATAACAGCTGTTAGACATACCTGATTAAACAAAAACACCAGAAAGTCCTTTCATGAGCTTACAGTGAAACCTAAAACTAACCTTTATAACTGGTTTTCAAGACTTGTTACACATACCAAATTTTAATTGATTTAAAATGTCATGCCAGATCAGAAATCATGCAAGATTTCTTAGTTGTGTTTGTTATTGTTGTGTTTGTTTTAGTGTCAAAGAACAACCTTGAAATCTTGCATTACTAACATTTACTCACTGGGATTAAGAATACTTCGAGGACCTCGAATACTTTGAATACTTCGAGCCACCACCACTGGCTCCGCCAGCACTATACAAAGGCAGGTGGAGCACCGCTTTCCCCTCCTGAGACGCCCGACGGTTTGCCAGAATCTCTTCGAGGCAGTCCAAAAGTCTTTTTCCATGGCCTCTCCGAACTCCCACACCCGAGTTTTTGGACACTTATGGACACTCTTGTGTTCGAACACGGTGTTTGTTATGGCCAATCTGTGATTTGCACAGAAGTTCAATAACAAACGACCACTCGGGTTCAGATCGGGGAGGCCGTTCTTCCCAATCACGCCTCTCCAGGTCTCGCTGTGGTTACCCACGTGAGCATTGAAGTCTCCCAGCGGGACAACAGAGTCTCCAGGTGGAGCACCTTCCAGCACCCCACCCAGGGACTCTAAGAAGGCTGGGTACTCTGAACTGCCACCCGGCGTATAAGCGCAGATGACAGTCAGGACTCGTTCCCCAACCCTAAAGCGCAGGGAACAAACCCTCTCATCCACCGGGAAAAACCCCAACATACCGGCAGCAAGCCGAGGGCCTCTCACCAGGGGCAACTCCAGACTGAGACAGAGTCCAGCCCCTCTCCAGGAGACTGGTTCCAGAGCCCAAGCCATGTGTAGAGGTGAGCCCAACTATATCTAGCTGGTACCTCTCAACCTCA